GTCGGCGGCGAAACATCAGCAGCGATCAGCGCGTCCTCGTCGGCCTCGGAGAAAACCACGGCCTCCGCATCTGCTTTACGTGAACGCAGCTGATCATCGTTAGGCCGCGGCTGTTGATGCCGATCTTCTCTCTCAGTGGATTCACTGGTGTGCAGGAGGGAGGTCACTGACTCATAGCTGAGGGGACACACATGGGGAACAGACGGGGGAGGGGGGGAAGGGGGTAAAAAAACCTCTGAGACAGAGCCGACCCTGAAGTGACCAGACTGTGGACAGACGGACAAACAGCCAGACATGCTTGAATAAAAGCAGCTCCTTCTCAGACTTTGTTTTGGTGCCGGTCCAGACTCGTCGTGCAGAAGCATCAGACTTTGTTTTGGTGCCGGTCCAGAAGCTCGGACTGAGTGAAGCCTCGTTAAAGTAACACCATGTACCAAAATTACATCGATCTGATGGATACGGAGCTGCGTCTCATTCGCGCTCGTCTTAACCTTAACCATCCTTGAACTTTGGACGGCACGGAGGACAAACCGTGTGAAGCGCACAACCCCGTTACTCAAGAATGCCGAGCCGAGATGGGTAAAGAGGAGTCGTCCAACATCTGTTCTCACTGAGTTGTGTTTGTGCAGCAACGGGACGTACTGTCAGAGTAACACAGTGTTGCTTTAGGACGTAAGAAGAAGTGAACGGAGGAAAGACGGAGGTGCCAAAACTGACGAAAAGAAAGAAAAAAAATCAAATCTCAATATGAGAGAGAGAGATCGCTGAAGGAACTGACACCAAACAATCTCAAAGCCACTGATATGAACAATGCATGCTGGGTAATGATGATGATGAGGATGACACAGATCTGTTCGACCTCGACTCAAACTTCAGACTCATTTTTCTCTCCGAGACGCTCCGACTCATTCACGTTCTCTCTCGTACTCCGTGACGGACTTTCACTACAACCAGCTGTGAACCGGTCTCAGCCAGGATCAGGTTCTGTGTTTTTTTTTTGCTCTGGCCTCATGGGTAGTTTATTGAAGTAGGTCAACCACGTCAGCAGTAACTTTGGAGGTGTTTTTAAATTTTTATTTTTCGACTGTTAGTTTTCCTGGATGTGTTGAGTAATGTAGAAAGAAAGGAAAAAAAAAAGATTTGTTTCCTCTTGGGTTGAAATTAGGCACATACTGCCACCTAGTGTAGTAGAGTGTGCATTGTCACGGTATGACCAGTGACTTTTTTTAAAGTAACGCAGCCTACTCCTTACGCCTGACGCACGACTCATTTTTTTGGATTTTTTGATTTGTATCGATTTTGAACCGATTCACGATGCATCGTGACAAAAACGTAAAAATACTGCGACTGGTGTTTTAGTTAACTGGTACCAGGAGATCCACACACACACACACACACACACCGACCGTTGACACAACAGGCAGTCAGGCACAGACTCACCCTCTGTACAACACACCGGCAACCGCTGACATGAAGCCAGCAGGGGGCGCTTTCTGCTGCTCTGAAAAACACTCGTCTGCCTTTGTGTGTTCACTAATCACACACACACACATAAACACACACTTCTTCAGTAGTAAGCAGCAAAACACACACACACGGGATCTTCAGTAGTAAGAAGCAGCAGTAATGAGTTAGTAACTTAGTAACTTAGTAACTTAGTAACTTAGTAACTAGACTTCAGTTCCACTGTAGGATTTTTTTTAACATTTTTTCAGCCGTGCTGCAGCAGCCGTCGCTGACTCACCCCCCCATCACACACTCCTCCTCCTCTTCCTCCTCCTGCTGCTGCTGCTGCTCTTCCTGGTCATGACCCGTCTGCTCCTCACCATCCACCCCTCCTCCTCCTCCTCCTCCTGTCTGGGCCGTGGTCTGCTCCACAGTGGCCCACAGCTGGTTCTCGGCCTCACACACTGGCTCCTTGTTGTTGACAAAACCCTCGTTGCCACCGGCCACCGCGCTCTGTGGCGGTTTCTCCTCCTCCTCCACCTCCTCCTTCTCCTCCTCCTCCTCCTCCCCTGGTGGTTTCCCCGGTGGCTGCAGATCCGGTTCTGGTCTCAGTCCCGGGTCTGGTTTTGAGGGGAGCAGCGGCTCCGGGGCC